GGCTTTGCTAGAGAGCTAGCAACACCCTCCTTTCCTACCTTCAGGGTACACACAAATTTTTTTCCCAGGAAATATTCTTAATATGGTATTAGGGTCAGTGATAACCTCTTGGAATTTTCTTTACTTTGAGGAAATTAAGTAAGAAAATCTGAACATATGACCTAGCAATTCAGTAGGGAACTTTTAATCTTGGCTTTATTCGTATTTGGAAATAAATGTTAAAGTCGTGAATTTGTTTTTATTTTGGCAACAGAGAAACAATGTAAAGTTTAAAATCCATAGCCTACCCTTACCCCTGGTGGAGCGTCATGCTATGGATGCCAGCAGGCTGGTGGCTTTGGTACGAAGAAAGGCACGTTTCTACCCCAATTGACTTAGTTTTCCTTTTCCCAAACCAAAATAAAACAAATAGATCAGTCGAGATACATAGCCCTCAGACTTGTGTGTGCGCAGCGTGACAAAACTTGTAGGAGATCTCCACAGAGAGAGAAGGATGGAGATGGATATCTTTGGAGCACCCTTACAACTGGTACCTGTCTCACAAACTGCCTTTGAGTGCTCTGAGAGCCAGCAGCACAGGCTCCCTCCCTATAAGCTCATCAACTTTGTGAAGGAGGCTACTGGCAAAAGATTTCCACACTTGCAAAAATAACCCAAGTCTGAACCGACTGTAATCCAAAGGAAACTTCCCTGCCTCAGTATGTACTGAGAGGCTCTGGTTCCAGGCTGCCCCATCCCAACTTCGCCTCTCAGAGAGGAATGTCAGGAGCCACATCCTTAAGAAGGGCCTGGTTGCCTTTCTTTGCCTTTTCATTTAAGCATCTCTGAAACGGGAGCAACTTCTGTGTCCATTGCCTCTAAGCATCATCACCAGCACCTCCACTCCCTTTAAGGAAGTGGTAAAAAGTGAGGACTTATCTGCAACAGGGATCATCATTTCTGCCCATCTGATTGTTTCTCCTCTAGGATTCAAAGCCCCGAAAACATCCAACTTTATCCATTTTATTCACCACTGAAAATCAGAGACCAAAGGCATTTGTAAAAATCTCCCCCACTCCCCATATAACCCCCAACCCTTTAGCTGAAACTTTGAAGAACAATCACGTTTAACTTTTCCTCCTTTCTTCCATTTCTTTTCCCCCTCCAGTCTGAGTTCGGTTTTCATTTCTAAGACAACTTCATTCCCTTTTCTTTTGAAACCAGCAGTTTCCAGGTTTGATTTTTGTTACACCGTGCATGTGTATGTGCAATTTTTCAGAAGCTGAGGCTGGAAGGCGGTGGGCTGGGGAGGCAGGAGGGAAGCCGCAGCATCCCCAGCAGCCAAAGCCCGCATCAGGGGCTAAAGCAACAAACTTTGCAAGTTACAGCCGGGCTGTGGCAGTGGCAGGCAGCAGCTGGGCATCTCCTGCTTCCAGGGCTCATTTATGCCTGGAAGGCTGTGTGGAGATAGTGGGGTATAATCAGGGGAATAGAAAGAGGGGTGGGGGCTGGGTTTTCCCCTCCTCTCCAGCTTCAGTGAAAGTGTTACAAAGTGAGTCAGGCGACTGATGATCATCTGACTGAACTTTCTTGAAACCGACACACATTCTTGTCTGCGGGCAACTTGCTTTTTGCCTCCTTCTCCCTCACCCCTCTCCCCCTTTCCTGCTGCACAGCTTATTTTCTGGGAAGAGATTTCATCCTTTCTATGTGGGGCAAAGGAGACTGTCCGCTACGGATGAACATGGCCCTGGCTCGGTCTTTGCCAGGCATCTTGCTAGCCTGAAAATCTTAAAGGCTGGATTTTAGATGCTTGTTTCTCTCTTCGTACATTTATTTTCATAGAACTGCCTTGTTCTCCTTTGCTTTTTAATAATCACCTATAGCATCATCTTCTAACCCATGTTCTTGACCAGCCTTTCAAACACACACACACACACACACACACACACACACACAAACACACACACTGCTTTACACGTTTTATCTCCTTGTCGCCTTAGTCTATATATACACTGTTGACTTCATTAAAATTATATAAAGTTCAATTCTAGTTTCCTGGATGACCATCTTTTTTTCTTTTTCCCTTGCAGCTTCTAGTTTTATGATTAGTACTGCCATTATTCCTTTCCAGGAATTTCTATATGATTTTGATAAGCATCATCATATTTAGTGTTATCAGCAAAGACACAAGCTCAAAAGTGACATCTTTTCCATGAATCCAGGAAAGAAGAAAAACCCACTCAGTTCAGATAAATCCTGGCAATTCCCGAAGGGAAAGGCATTGGATACGTGCTCGATGAGAAAGAAAATGAAAAAAAGGGGGGGAAACTCTTCTACCTGCTTCTCAAAACCAGGACATTGCTCAGTCAGATTAAACCCAAAGGAAAACACTGACAAGTAACCAATTCAGAGCATGTTTTCCCATAGATTATTTGTAAAAAGAGACAGGTAATAGTCAAAGTTAGAGAAGCTGTAAGAGATGGACAGGCTTGCTGTTGAGTGTGCAGAGTCTGGGCTACATGCCTTAAAATGTGCAATTCAACTTTCCATTTCGGAGTGTTGAGGCTTCTCCCAAGTTAATGTCTGAGCGGAAGGGAAATGGTTGCAGTGTCCATGGCTGAGCACCTCCCTGGCACTCCGGTCCACCTGTGAAGCCTCCAGCAGGCCTCTCTCTCTGCGAGATGCGCCCCCCACGTCCGGCCCCCCACCAAGGGTTCCCAGGAAGCCTGGAGCCCTCGATTCCCCCAGACCTGGGCTAGCCTGACCTCACTGCCGAGGCCAGGCTCGTCATCAGTGGCAAAATCCCGAAGGGGGTGGGAGGAGGCAGGCAAGAAGAAACAAACATTTTAAATAGTCTCTCCTGCAAAAGAACACTTCTGGGAACCTGGCTTTAAATCTCATTCTCTTTTCTCTCAAAAAAAATGACTGTTTAACATAAGAAAAAAACCTGCTTGACACAAAGCTTTTGTTATCCAGTTGATCAGCAACGTGCTTTAGATACTTGTAAGAGGGGGGAAAGCCCCACAACAGACATTGATTTTAGAAAATCAATAACCAACATTTAATAAAAGGAACAGAGGAAACACAAGAGAGGAGCCGGGGACATTAGGTGTAATTTTAGCGTCTACTAAATTACCCAGAGATGGGGAATGGGAGGTCTCCTGTGTAAGGACCACCTTAAATAATGCCAGATACTGGAGTGAAGAAAAATTAAATTGAGAGAGAGAGAGAGAGAGAGAGAGAGAGACTCTTAAAAAGAGGCAGCTAGAACTGGATCTTGGGGAAGCATCTCGGAATATATTATTGTACTTGTTTTTTGTAATAGTAAGCCAAGCAAATAGATCAAAGGCAGCACAAAGGGAAAAGGCAGGATAACGTAACGAACAGTTTCTGACTAAAATTCCTCTATCACTCCCCCATATGGCTCGACACCTCCACCACAACAAGCAAAAGACACACACACACACACACACACACACACACACACAACCTAGAGAGACTAGAGACAGAGACAGAGAGGCATCATTTGTCTCTAATCAAAATTCTCTAGCCTTTGTGTTTTCCTCCTTCCAGCACCCCGCACTGCTCCCCCAGTCGCCCCCTCCCCGCGCCGCGCAGCTCAGGGGCAGGCCGGGGACGCGCACAATTGTCTTCTCTAGAGGAAAGTTGCTCCAAGTGGGCCCGGGCCGTCCCCGCGAGGCGCGGGCTGGGCTTGCGGGAGGCCGGAGGCCGGGCGGGCGCCGCGTCCCCGCGTCCAGCTCCGGAGCGTCTACGCGGCCCCGCGCCGGGTGATCCGGCGCAGAGAGAGGGGAGCAAGAAGTTTCCTTTCCCAGTCTGAGCTGGCGCTAGCTAGTTCGCTTGTTTGTTTTGGGGGGTTGGTTTTTCTTTTTAAACTCAATATCCTCCGTCAGCTCCCCCCCGGCACCCTCTCAGGTCCCCAGCTCTTTCCCCTCCCCCAGGAGCCTTCTGCGCTCTTGCCAATCAGTTTTCTCTTTTATTCCCACGATTTTGTTTGGGGGTAATACCTAGGGGGTCTCTCTCTCTCTCTCTCTCTCTCTCTCTCTCTCTCTCTCTCTCTCTCTCTCTCTCCTCTCTCCTCTCTCCTCTCTCCTCTTTCTCCTTCCCTCCCTCCCTCCCTCCCCTCCCTTCCTCTTCTCTGCCCCTCTCCAAGATGGACCTACTAAACTGTCACCCCTTTAATCTCCCACCTCTTATCTGTGTGTCCCCTCGCACCCCCATCTCCTTCCTCCTTCCTGACTCAGCCTGGATAACGGGCTCCTCTTGACCATGTAGAAACTGCCCAGAAAAGTCTCCCTGAGCTCTTCGATTCCGCCAGCCCCCGATGAGGGGCCAGAGCCTGCTGGAGAGGAGCCACCCGCCCCCGAGCCCGCGCGGAACCCTCCGGACCCCGCGCGGGGTCGGCCGAGTCCCTCCCACCACGGAGTCCGGGCGCGCCCGGCCGGGCCCCGCTGCTCTTGGACCGTTACTTGGCGTACGAAGAGGCGGCCGGGCGACTCCGACAAGAAACTTTAAGCCTCGCGGAGGCACAGCCCTGGGCCCCCTCTCCCGCCCTCGCGGTCCCTCTGCCACCCCCGCCCCCGCCCCGGGATCCTGCACGACCTGGCGCCCGGGCCCCCGCCCTGCCCTCGCCGGACGCTCCCGCAGCCCGGCTGGGGACCAGGCGGGCCGGGAGCGAGCGGAGCGGGAGGCGGAGGAGGAGAGAGGGCGGGGGCGCGAGGGGACCGCGGGGATGGGGGCGCGGGGCCCCGGCCGGACCCCAGCGCTCGGAGCCCCCCGGCGCCCGGCGCCCACTTTGCCCAGCACTTCCCCAACTCCCCCCCAGCGCAGTCGCCGCGCGCGCTGGGCTCCGGCGCCGGCCGCGGAGGGAGGCTCGCCCGCGAGCCCTGGGCGCCGCCGCCGCCGCCTCCGCCTCGGTTCCTTTTCCCGTTCCCCCTCCTTCTCCCTGGGTCTCGAGCCGCGGAGTGGCCCGGAAAAGTTTGGTTCGGGCCGCTTCTTACCGTTTTTCCTCCTGGGATTGGCTTGTTTGCGCCTCTTGCACCGGGGGCCATCCGCCATGATCGGCTGCTTCATTGATAAGAGCGGATCAGATGGCAGTTCGCATGGACTCGGCGCCCTGCTTCGGCAGCACGCAGGCTCGATCTAGCAACCAAACACAGCGACAATGTGGGCATCGCCCGCGCCCATTGAAACGCGCGCGGGCCGCCCAGGGGAGCCGGGCCAGGGCCCCGGCCAGCACCCATCCGCGCCCCCCAACGCCAAAGCGAAACTTCGGCGGCCCCCTCCCCGCCCCCCACCCCAGCCTTGGCCCCGAGGCGCTTTGTGTTTGTTACTGTTTGGTGTGTCGCACCCGCGAGGGGATCAGAGAGACAAGAATTACATCTTCAAAATGAGTCATAACTCCTGACCGTATGAGGGAATGCACACGGCGGTACAGTAAGACTGCTTGACTCAGGGCTAGGCGGACCCTTTCCTCCGAAAAGTCCTCAGCCCGGCTCCGGTACTTGGGGTGAGGCGAGGCTTTCTTTCGCTCTCATCTTGTCTCACCCCCCACCCCATTCCTCAGAGGAAACAAACAAACAAACAACGCGAAACAGCCCCCAGATGAAGCACACTCGGGCAAATTGATAATAGTAATTATAGGAAGCCCACTCACCCCGCGCCCCCTCCCCTCCCCCTTTGGAGTTGATCGAGGCACTG